TAATAGATTACATAGTGTCATCTTAGAAATAGTTGATCAAGTTACAAAATTAAGCATACAAAGTGGACATTCAAACAGTGAGATTGCAAACAGTTGAGTTCAGTGATCCAACAAAAACTTAGTAATATGTTCATCTAGCTTACACACCTAAACACAATTGCAGTTGTGTCCTTTAGAGCACTTTGTATTCCTCTTTTTTACAATAACATTTACACATTTTGGGTTTTATTACTCCCACAGTTCTTATTACTTTTTGGAAGAGAATAAAACCAAATGTGAAAAAACAAAGCAGTCAGTCAAAACAAAGGATGGACATAGTACATGATGTAAAAATAGAATACAAGGTAATCAACAATGATAACCACAATGCCTCTTGCTACCTTAAATTGCCTATATCATCAGGTATAATAAAATTGAACAAAACAGTACAGAACAAAACCAATAAAACCTAAACATTGGAGACATTACTAAATTTCAAAAGAAAATAATAGTCGAACCAGAATGGGCATCATAGTGAAACTTAGTGCTTTCAAAGTAATTGCCAATATCCTCAAAACTGATAATATCAAACAGAACAGAATAGAGTAAAATCACTCAAAACAAGATGTTGTGAGCAATGCGGGGCTTCAAATCGAGTTAATATGAAATCAAAAAGTTACTGTAATGCATCCTGCTAATTTTTAAAATTTTTTTCTTTAATTGAAAAATTATGAAAAAAAGTTTTAAAAAGGGGAGAGATTGAGATAAAAGAGGACATAACAACATAACAATGCAAGTCAGAACAGAACAATTGAAGCAACATAGTATTTGACCTCAAGATAATCCAACATAATAGTAGTTACCATAGGGTCTCTTTCCTTAAATTGTGTATAACTTCGTATACTGTAGCACCAAACATATCAAAACAGTGTGAAACCATTCAAGAGGATGAAAATATTACAAGGTATTTAGAACCAGCTACCAGAAAATGAATGATGGTTTCTATATTATCTCTTTGCCTAAAAAATTTTTGTTTATACTATCACATATAGTAAAATCCAATAAGATAGAACATGATAAAAGCAATGGAGACAGAAGAACAACAGTTTAATGGGACTTCAAAACAAGATGATTTAAATCAGCACTAGCTATTATGATGTCTTGTTTTCCTCAAAATAGCTGTTCATATCTTCACAGACAATATCAAACAGCCTAGAATAAAAGCATTCCAATTAATTAGTGAAAACTTTATAAGGCATCAGAACTATATAATGGGGAATCATGATTACCACATACTTTTATGTATTCTCACCATTTCATACACTAGGGAAACTATTCAGTTTTTATACATGTGAGTTTGATTTATTTCACTTATGGTCTCAAGCTGAGCCCACTTATTTATAAATATCTCAAACTTATCCTTCTTTATAGCTGAGTAGTACTCCATTGTATAAAAATACCACAACGTTTTTTTATATATTCCTCAGTTGATGGACACTTAAGTTGTTTCCAAGATCTGGCTACTACAAATTGTGCTGCTATAAACATGGGTGCACATATATCACAGTGGTATGATGTTTTCCGTTCTTCTGGGAATATGTTTAGAAGTGGGATAGCTGGAACAAATGGAACTTCCAATCCCAGCTTTTTGAGAAATCTCCAGAATGACCTGCACAATGGTTGCACCAGTCTACAATCCCACCAACAGTGCAAGAGAGTTCCTTTTTCCCCACAGCCTCTCCAGCATTATCGTTGGTGGTTTTGCTGATCCTGGCCATTCTTTCTGGAGTGAGATGGGATCTCAGTGTGGTTTTAACTTGCATTTCTCTAATGAGTAATGATGATGAACCTTTTTTCATGTATTTATTTGTCATTTATATTTCTTCATCTGAAAATTGTGTATTCATCTCAGATGCCCATTTTTGAATTGGGTCTTTGAATTTTGGGCGTCTGACTTTTTTTAACTTTATATGTTTTAGACATAAGTCCTTTGTCTGAGGGAGAGTTCACTAAGATTTTTTCCCAGTTTAGGAGTTTTCTTGTCACTATGCTGGAGATTTCTTTTGACATGCAGAAACTCTTTAATAAGTCATGATCCCAGTTATTGATTCTGGTAAGTATTTCATGTGTGGTTTGAGTCCTGTTCATGAATTCTCTACCTACCCCTGTCTTCAAGATTTTTTTTTTTGTCTTTTTCCTTTTTATCGGTACCGGGGATCTAACTCACGACTGCCTGCTTTCAAGGCAGGTGCTTATGCCACTGAGCTAAACCCCCAGCCCCTGTCTTCAATATTTTTATCTAATTTGTTTTCCAACAGATTTAGTGTTTCTGTTTTAATATTCAGATCTTTGATTCATTTAGATTTTAGTTTAGTACATGGTGATAGGTATGGGTCTAGTTTAATTTTCAGCATATGGAGAATCAGTTTTTCCAGCACCATTTATTAAAGAGACTATATTGTTCTTCCAGTGAACATATGTGGCCCCTTTATCAATGACAATCCTTTGACCTCCAGCCTTGACTCTTCTGTATCTGACTTCATTCATCACTTTAGCCCTTCCCCTATCTATTTTAGCCTCCCCTCACAGAAGAGAAATATCACTTTACAAAGGGAAAAATCACTGCAAACAGGTGTATAGTGTATGGTTGATTTGCTATCTAACCTTAGAGTTTGCTCCTGGCTAGCAGGTTAAAGGTTACCATAGTAACGCTGTACCTGAAACCACAGCTGTACTTGAAACTATTGCTAAATCTAACTGTACTACTTTAGCCAGGATGTCATACATGTTTCTAATATTTTCCCTCCCCTGTATGATAACACTGTGAGTGTATGAGGTCATAATCATTACCACAGCCCAGTACCAAAGGATTAGGAGCTAACTCGAATAGAAATTTTACATTCTTTACAAATTGGGAATAGTTATGACGAACTATGTATATCTAAAGGACATCCCTAAAGAACAGACATCTCCTAAGGAAGTCTCAATACTATTGATAAAGCTATAATAATAAAAATTGGCAAGCACCCACATAGAAAAGAAAAAAAAACAAAAAAGAGAAAATGAAAAATGACAAGACACACAAGAAAATGCAACCCTAGCTCCCCACCCCCACCCCCAGGACAAGCCTGGAACTCAATGGATGGATGAAACCGGAAGCTAAATACAGAAAACTTCTGAAATGATAGGAACGGAGGTGAAAAAATAAGTGGAAAAAGCTAGAGAAGACACAGGTTAAAAAATAGATGAACTTAGAAAAATGATGGAAACAAAAAAATACCCAACATAGGAAAGAAATGGAATCTATGAAACAGATCCAAACAGAAATCCAAGAGATTAAAACCTCCACTGAAAGTGTATGCAGCAGATTGAATGAAGGAGAGGATAGAATTTCAGATCCTAAAGACAGAATTGCAGATAGTTATGATGAAAAGAATGATATATTAAAAATAGCAAGTGATTATGAAAAATCAATCCAACAGTTACAAGATGAAGCAAAGAAAAATAACATAAGATTGACAGAGATCAATGAGAAAGCTGAAGACAGTATAAGTGTCATTAAAAAACCTAAAACTCATCACAGAAATAATGGTAGAAAACTTCTCAAGTGTCAATAAAGAATTTTACATACAAATAAATGAAGTATATATAACTCCAAATAGCCACAACTAAAATAAAACTACAACAACACATATAATAATCAAGATTCCAGAAATTCAGCATAAGAACAGAATATCAAAAGCTGTTAGATCGCCTACAAAGGAAAGCCTATCAGAATCCAAGTAGACTTAGCACCACAACCCTATAGTTAAAGGAGAGCTTAGAATTAAGTGTTTCAAGCTTTAAGAAAAAACAACTTCCAATCCAGACTGATGTACCCTGTAAAGTTATATTGAAATTGATGGAAGAAAAAAAGGTACTTCCATGAAAAAGAACAACTGAAGAAATTTATGATCACTAAACCAATGCGACAAAGAGTACTATGTGACTTGCTCCCCCATTTGCTCCTAGTTTAATCATTTTATCATAGTAACTAATCTTATTGGTTGAACACAGTTCTGTAATGCATTATGTCCCACCTTGCAAATTCCCATTTCTATCACGTTTGACCCATCTAACCTCATGATTTTACTCTATAAAAGTCCCTGGAAAAGACAGGGTCTTGGCAACCCGATCGGGACCCCTTCTGTCTGTCAGTCAGAAGCTTTCTTTCGCTCAATAAATATATTCTGCTCTTAACCTCTGTTGTTCCTAAAATTCATTCTTCCATTTTTGAGAACATGAACTCATACTGGACTCATAGGTTGGGAGACTATATCAGTGACACTTGTCAAAATTCATTCCTGTGCACTGAATGAGAATTATGCATTAATAATGTACCAGTGTCAGCAGTGCATTCCTATCATCCCAGCACTTGAGAGACTGAGGCAAGAGGATTGCCAGGAATTCGCAGGCAATCTGAACTGCATAGTGAGACCTGCTGTCAAAACAAAGAATTACTAATGTAACAAAAATTGGAAAGGGATGGGTTGGAGGACAGCACTAGGTTTAGGTTTTATTGCATGTTAAGCTTTATCCTAATAGACATCACTGTAAAATACCCCACTAAGCTTATAAAAAAAGCTCCCAACTGGTTCACCTCCAGTAAACAGTGCTTACAGTTATTACCCCATCACAATAGTGGAAGCTGCAGGAATGTAGGCCTGGTACCTTAGCGGGTGTTTACTGCGCATGCGCAGAAATGGGGTCTGTTGGTTGGTCTGAAGTTTCTGAGACTGGGCGCTAGGAGGCACTCTGCGGGGTTTCCACCTGACCAAACTGTGGGTAGCCAAGGTAAAACTTTGCTGTCCAACCACAGAAAGGGCACAATGGGTGCAGGGTTTAAAAAGTGAAACTAAAACTCACCAAATCTTGGCAAGCAACAAACCAGCGGCGTACTCATGACTAAAACGTGCCATAACCCTGCTGACAAGGGAGTGTTTCCTTTAATATTTTTATGAGAAAATATACTCAATATTTACCTGCTTTGTTTATGGGTTGGCTAAAGTTCTTGTGTCTTTCTTTCACAAAACAATTCTCAATCCTCAGGATACACAGCCAAGTGTGCCTGCGCGTTTCCAGGTGGGTTGCGCTGGCTGGTCCTAAATTCAACCTGGCTTCTGTTCCTTTATCCTCCTGGTTACAGTTCGGCCCTGCTTCCTCCTGCTCCAGGGGGAACCACGCAGAGCCCTGGATCGCAGTCCGGCTGAGCGCCCAGAGCTGCTACTCCGCCTTAGGGTGCAGTGCCCTCTATGACCTGTTCCAAAGGACGTGACGCCTGAGGGTGCAGTGCCCTCTGTGACCTGTTCCAAAGAACGTGGCGCCTGAGGGTGCAGTGCCCTCTGTGACCTGTTCCAAAGAACGTGGCGCCTGAGGGTGCAGTGCCCTCTGTGACCTGTTCCAAAGAACGTGGCGCCTGAGGGTGCAGTGCCCTCTGGGACCCGTCCCATGGATGTGGGGGCTGGGGTACGGTGGGGTTGGGGAGAATAAAATCTTTGTAAGATTGATTTCCTCTTCACAAAACCTTTTATCCGCTACATGTCCCTAACGTGGCGAACAGGCAATCATGGATCAGGTATTGCAGTTTGTTGAACCAAGTCTGCAGTTTGTGAAGGACTCCATTCGCCTGGTTAAAATGCACCAAATCAGACAGAAAAGAATTGCGGAACATTGCCAAGGTAACAGCAACAGGATTTGCTATGAAGGGATTCATGGGCTTCTTTGTGAAATTGATCCACATCCCTATTTAACAACATCGTTGTGGATGGTGATCACTTTGGAAGGGCGTTTTTCTTCTTGGCTTTTTAGGGGTTGGAGAAGCTCGTGAGGTGAAAATTTGCCTTTGTGGTTCTGTTTTCTTTTTTCTCTTCACCCTTTTAAAGTGTTTCCTATTTGTATATCAAAATAATTTCAAAAATAAACCCTTTCATCCACAGTATCTTCCATTCAGAATTCTCCGAAGCAGTAGCTTAAGTATGGCAAAGCGTGGAAATAAAGGAAGAGCAGCTGGTCAGAAAAACAAAGCAATGTATTCTGGGCTTGATGGTGAGGGAGTAGGCACCTGTGCTTGCATTTGACAGAGTAATGCAGATGGAAGCAGGAAAGCTTTCTAGTACAAAAAGAGGAGGCTTCAGATGTGCCTTGTTAAATGCTATGAGGTGAGGACCCTATAGTTGAGCTAATTCTGGGCTCAGCCCCCCACTACTGGTAAACAAAGTGGGGTATTCCATGCCTTTAGTTAGGGGTGCACAGTTGGCATTCCCTGGTTGTTCCTAAATGGCAAGGAGGACAAAGGGTGTGCTGTCAGTTATTGATCAAGTTCTGGCTATTTTGAGTTGCTTGTTAGGGAAGTTGTTAACTTTCCTGAATCTATCTATCTATCTCTTTTTTTAAATTAGATAACAGTCAGATTTCCCACAAGTCTGATTTACAGCAGGCTAGCTTCCTGGGTTGTTCATTGTAGATAAGGGATTGCAGATTGGCACTAAAGAGTTCTTTCTGTTTATACATGGTCTGAGTAGTGTAGCCTCTGAAATGTACTAATTCAGCACATCCCAACCTAGTGCCCTGGCCATTCAGCTTGCCTTAGGCACTTCTCACTCAAATGTGGGCCTGGGACCAGGTGTCTGTGGGGTGTCTGGGTTCTGAGACAAAGGTCAAGACATTTACCTATCACTCCATGTAAGAATTTCAAATGGGACCAACAGCTCAACTGTCTCTGTAATTGCTCAGGTTAAATATTCAAGGATTTGGAGTTTATACTGTTGCCTTGCAAGAGATGGTGGTACTGGTTAGCAGTCAGTGAGAGGTTACTGGCCATTAGAATGATAAGGAGCTGGCAGCAGTGTTCTTGTGGTGCAATTGGTTTGCACATTTGGCTGTTAATGGAAAGATTGATGGTTTGATCCCACCCAGGGTGGACAACGAGTTTGGTCACTTGCTCAGAGGTTACATCTAAAAAACATATTTTACTTAACCAGCTCACATAATCTAGTGGTTACTTCTTGTCCCCAACCCCCACTTTGTTGTCCTCAACCAAAGTCCTAAGACAAAAGGTAGTGGAGGAGATAAGGAAGTCCTTGCAACAGGGAATGGGAAAATGCAGTGCAATCTAAGCATGATTTTAGGATGTGAAGATATTATTCGTAGTATGTAAACAATAATACCTAGAGGCTGTGTCTAGTTTTAGTAGTTGCTCCATCTATATTGTTAGTAGTAGAGTCAGGATCCTTATTATCTTCTGAATTATTTTTAACAAAGGTGTTTCTTCTTTTGTTGTACTATTATCTAAACTTTTATGTGTTTTGTTGAAATCAATTTGGTTCCATGATTTTATAATTTCAAATAATGCTGCAGTTATCGTTGTCCTACAAGAATCTTTTGCTATCTGTACAAGCATTTTTATAGGATGGAGTCCTAGAAGTGCTCCTGCCATATCTTCATGATTCCTTTTTTTAACTTAAATGATAAACCCTGTAAATTTGCCTTCCACAGGAGGGGTATCACTTTATGTTCCTATTTAGTTTTCAACTCAAAGAATCTTTTTCTTTCTATTCTTGTTAGCACAAAAAACTTCTATATATCTGTGATATCCTAATAAAGGAAGTGTTGCTCTCCTGTCATAAGTGGAAGCCTTCTTTTATCCCTCATTAATACACTGTCAATTACTTTCTCTCATTAGTGACATCAATGTGGAATTCTGGTTTTTATGCTACTAAATGAACATCAGATGATCTCTGTGGAGGAGTAGTTAACAGGGATCCAACTGATGCCTCTGGTAAGTACATGACCATTAAACTAGTCTATGCATCTTTGTTTGACTGGCTATTTGATCTAAATGTTTTGGTATTTTCTCATGTTTAACTATGCAGTCTTGAAAAGTGATTTTATCTCTTTAATAATAGATGAAATCCTGTAGGCCTAGTAGGTATCAATTTCTGCAAAAGTGGAATGTCTAACAAAATGAACTTTATACACAATGATTCTCCCTTAAGAGCTCTGACTTCAATAAATTATTCTACCTAAAAGCAATCCTTGAACAGAAAGAAAACCAGATTCTTGGTGTCCAGTGATCTACTATCTTAGTATACGGAGTCCCTAAATGATAAAATTGTCATGACCTGCGCAACCAGCCAGGTCCTGAGTGAGGGTGATAGGAGAGTAAGAAAAACACTAAACATGCACTAAAAGGATGCTGGGACTGTGTGGGACCTGACCTCTCTGATGGAGAGGCACTGACCACCCAGCACTTTCGGTGTCTTTATTTATACATAGTCAAAAAAAGAAGCAGCACCCAATGAGGCCCAAAGTGCAAGGTCTCAGTGTTTTGCTGAGGACACTGGAAGTGAAACATTCTCAGAGCTATCTGTGCTATGGTTAATGGGGAAGAACACAAAGGGCAGACAATTACTGGACCAGCCTTGCTCTACTTCCAAGGAGTTTGCCTACCTTAAGCTCAGCCCTGACTCCGCCACTCCCCACATAAAATGAGTTTGCAGTTATCCAAATCAGACTGAAGAAAGAAGAAAACGATATTTATGTCATTATAATAAGATGACATATTAATTAATATGTGGTCAATATTAATTAGGGTTATCCAGAGAATGAAATGGAGGCATCTGACAACTCCTTAAACTAAGATTTAAAAATCATTGAAATAATTGCCAGAACAGAAAGTTAGTTCTTTTTTAAAAAATGGCCAAAAAAGAGACTTTAAAATGAATTTTTTAAATTTCAACAAATATGAAGATTTGAACAGCTATTTTGAAGCGAACAAGAGACATTACAGTAGCCATTGTTGATTTTCCTATTATCTGGTTTTGAATGCCTGTAATGCTTTCATTATCCTATTTTGACCAGTTTTATACTATTTTGTTTTGTACTAATTCATTGTGTTTGATGATATAGACTATTACTTAGAAGAAAATAAGAGGCATTATGGTAGCCACTGTTGATCTCCTGTTGTCTTGCTTTGAAATACTGTCACTTACATTGATTTCTTCTGATCTTCTTTCTTCCGTTTTGTAATGTTTTGTTTTACATACTTTAAAATAAAATGAATTTATTTATTTCAACAAAAGAAAACAGAAAAAATGTAGATATGTACAGTATTTCAAAAAAAAACATTGAGTGCTAGTTGATATATTACAAGATAACAATATGTAGTATGTCAACTAGATGATTTCTTAGTAAAATGAATTTTTTAAATAGGATAAAGTTCGATGACAACACAAGCAGTATGTCCTGAAAAGGTCCCGAGAAACTAAAAAAGTTCACAGATTTACTCAGATTTACAGCAAGGAATCCCCTCTAAATAGCTAAGCATGCTAATTATTTCCTTTGGTAATAAACATTTTCAGTAGATACTATTACTTCTTTTCCACTTTAAATGATGTTACTTTATATAATTAGTTCCCTCACAATGCTTAGTAATTTGAAGGAATTATTTCATTGTATACTATAAATTGTTTTCTGAGAAATAGGTATCATTTATATTTCCTTGAAATATAGACAAAAATAGGTCCCTCAAAATTCAAAAGATAAACTTCTCAAATTGATTTGTGGATATCACTGGCCATTTATATAAATTAGAAAAATAAGATAAATTAAGTATTTCTATGACAAATGGGAAGTTTTTCTGTTTATGTTTTAGAAGTGGATACAGTGTTTGGCTCTTGTCGGCTTTCATAATTATTCATAATTACTTTTGGTGCCTGCCAGGCACAGGTTCCGAGGGTCTCAGGTAGTTTTTGTTTATCTAGAGGTCATAGGCTATGACACTCTGGACAAATAGGAGGAAAAGTTTGAAGCTTTTGTAGTCACGGGTTGTACATAGAGAACAATTAGGATTATGACATAGAACTTATAATTTTTTTATAATGGTCACCGGAAGTTAACACAGGAAAACGCAAGAAATCTATCTGCAACACCAAAGACATAGATTATTTAGTCAAGCCCCTAAACCCCACAGCAATGTCCCACATGCGTCCAGATAAAAATCAAGAGCTCCAGACAATGCCTCCAGGAGTCCAACTGGAGGTCCAGAGCCTACAAGAAGGAGTCATGCCAGTCTCTTTTACAGATCCATGCTGGGAAGACCCAAGGGTCAGCGGTGGAAGCCAGAAAGTCTATGCCAGCAGGATAAGCAGCTGTGCTACTGGGATGAGGGTTCTATGCTAGAGCCGAGAAGTCACACTCACGACAAAGACCAGGGCTATCCTGAAAGGCACCACAGCCATCCTCAGTGACATGGAGGCCCCGAGCTCCTCCAGCGACAAGCACAGTTGGGTACATGCCAGAAAGCAGCATGACGATCTCATCCTGGAGACCAAGAAGCACATGTGTTCCCCTCCAAAGCCAGGAAGCAATGCTCGATGTGATGACTAAGGCTTCTCCAGGAGAACCAACAGATCAGACAGCAACTCGTAGGTGAACCCATAAGGCCTCCTTAACACCTCAACTCTCTACACCTCCCTTCTTCTCCACCTATTTATCCTGGCAACTTTCCTCAGGTGGAGCATCTTCCCCCAATGCCATGCTGATGTAATCCACCTGGCATTAAGTGAACACCAGTTCTTAATCCATAACACAAACAAAACCTTCATTTTCTCCTGCTCAGCTTTCTCATTAATTTCCTTCATGGGAATAGTATTTCAATTGTCAGGCAACTTTACAAATCAAACTTTATGTGGCCATACAAAGAAACATCTATAGGTCCTGACAACCTCTGACCTTTTTCCCTAAATTGACTCTTTAGGCATATGTAATGGTTTGACCTGGTACTATTCCTATTTCTCATTTCACCCAGAGGAGCAAAGCAACAATACTTCCCCTACAGTTATGGCGCCCAAGAGAAAACAGGAATTTATAAAGCACATACTATGCTTACATTTTTGGCCATCATAAATGTTTTTTGATGCTGTATCACTGGCACAATGGTCTCCTATTAATGCGGTAGTGTTATAATTTTTCGGCTGAGAGCACTGAGGTCCAGCAATGTTGAGGTGCTCATCAAAGATCATCCAGCTTGAAGTAATATTTGCTTCATTGTACCTGCCTTGGAAATGCAGGCCCTATTTACTGCCCTCTACAGTATGAACAGTCAGGTGTGAAATAGGGAGGGGGCTGACCCCTTTCATACCTCTGTTCCTAACTTTGAGAGCCAGCTTTCTTGACTCTTTCTGTCCCTGTCCCAAATTGGGGCAAGACTTCACATCCATTACTCTTCTGATCTTTCACCTGTTCTAGATCTATGCCAAGGGTTCAATGGGAGTTTTATATTTACTCTCAGCTACCCAGGAGCACATCGTTCAACCCATCCCTGCCTTGAGAGATGGCAGAAGGTCAAAGACACTTTTCCCTTACTTGCAGTCCATGCATCACTGGCACTGAGGTGTGGCATCTGGAGTGATGGTCCCAGAAAACAGAATTAGTTTCTACCATCTCTATCTTTCTTGAAAAATAAAGAAGGATTTCTGTTTCCCATTTGACATTATCCTAGTAGAGGAACAACAACACAACTGTAGGATTTCTATGAGTCTTTAAATCATACACATGTCTTACTTTTTGAAACAGTTTCATTGCCTAGCTTTTAGATCATCTTTATTGGAACTACATTTTTGGGAGATTTTCCTAAATGTCCCCAGCTCCTGCACCACTCTCCAACATTCCATGGATGTCCCTGGCACATCACCACCCTATGCCTGGGCACTAAGCTCTATTGCCTGGGATTCAGGCATCACTCTTTTGCATTGGGTTCAGCGAAGTACAGGTACTTCCTGGGGTCTTTATGTGGCTATAGTGAGCTAGCCTAACCACAGATACCAGAAGTGGTCCTGTCCTCCACCTTTGCCTTAGATCTCAGTGTCAGTATAGGTGTGACTAGACTTGTCTCAGCTGTCAGCGCTGCAGTGTTGAGAAATTGTCCCAGTATCTCCTGTCTCATTACAGCTCTCCAAGGAGACAGAGTTCCTAGAAAGGCCTTGCAATCCTCTCTTACCCCAGCATTAAGAGCTCAGTTTGAAAGGAGGGCAAAACAAGGAGCTACCCTCAGGAGCTTTCATAGAACTGGAAGGGGAGGCAACAGGAAAATCTGTAGTCCCAGGAGAATGTCTGTCCTTCCATATAACCACTTCAAGTGATGTGCTCTCCCCTTTCATGAGCCAAAAGTGGCTAGGGCAAAGCAGCAGGGCCTATGTTTACAGATCCCAATACATTGGATGACTGGATATAGCCATAATACTTCTCCCGGAGTTTCTATAATATTAAGACTATGCTCTGTATTGTTTTCCTAAAACAACAGCAAATTCTGGCACCTTAAAAATATCTGACTCCAAAGATTCAAATCAAGTAGCATGTAGGACTCTACTATAATACTTGCCTATTTTTTTACATCAGTCTACAGTAGGTTATGAGTTTCCTATTTTTTACTGCCTTAATTTTGGGGTATTTTTTATTTTTTATTATCTTTTATTTTGTTTTTGCTTTATACGAGCAGTTTAGAGTCTCAAGTATTTAAACAAGAAATTTCTCAACCTGTAATAAAATTTACTTCATATGGTTATTGGGAGTATTACGTTTACAGGATATCAAACGATATAAAAATCATCGATCCAATAATGGCATGCATACACAATTAGTTAGTATCTGCTATGGTTTGTGTCTGGATACCCGGCCATCCGAAAACCTCATAGGGCCACAGAGAATTTTGGAGGTGGCTGAGTGTATGATTGATAGGAGGTACAATGCTGGGAATAAAGGTGTTGGGATTAAGGGTGGGTGATTGCTGGGTCAGTCCATTAGAGGAAAAAAAGGAGCAGAAAGATGCTCTTAAGGTTCAGTTCCTGACTTTTTTCATATCATTTTCAATTGAAGAGAGTAAAACCAAATGAAATAATGCAGAATGTAGCCAATCAAAACAAAGCAATGAACATGGTACATGATTTTCAAGCAAAACACAAGAAAATCAATAATGGCTATTGTAATGCCTCTTGGTATTGTCAAAACAATTGCTCATAACATCAAGCATAATAAAATAGATATAACATAAAGGCGTAACAAAAGAGTACAGAAGAAAACCAATAAAAATAATGACAGCAGTACAGGACTTCAAAACAAAATAATAGGGAAACCATAGTGGGTACCATACTGCAACTTGTTATCTTCAAAGTAGTTGCCTATCCCATCAGAGGTGATACAAACAAAACAAAATGGAATAAACGCAGTCAAAACAATGAAAGCAATACAAGGCTTCAAAACAAGCTAATAGGAAATCAATAATGGCTACCATATTTTGTTATCTTTGAAATAGCTGCCCATACCATTAAATACAATAAGATTAGACAAACCAAAACAGAAAAATACAAACTAAATAGAACAATGAGAAAAATAAGGGTTTCAAATCACCATAATAGATTAATAATGACTACTGACTTTTTTTTAGATACTTCCTCCCCTTTCACTTTCACAGTATGTACTGTGCATTTTGTATCCCACCAACTCTTCAGAGTTCTTCATACTAGGGAAACAACACAATATTCACCCATGTGACTCTGAACCATTTCATTCATGATCATGATCTCAAGTTGTATCCATTTATCTACAAAGAGCCTCAAGGTTATCTGTCGTTATAGCTCAGTAGCTTTCCACTGTATAAAAGTGCCATGGCTTTCTTAGGCAGTCTGCAGCCGATGGGCAAGCTACCTCCATTTCTTTTGGAGTCCCTGTCCCAGAGAGTATTGTTCTCTCCCCTTTGACTTTCAGTCTATGAACCCCCTTTCAAGTCAAAGGCATTTCTTGTGTGAAGCACATTGATGGATCTTGTGTCCTGATCCACTCTGTGTTTGTTTTTGTTGGAGAATTAAGGCCATCTATATTAATAGTTATGGCCAACATGCACTGGCTGATCTCTGCCATGCTATTTTTCTGCTATTCACTGCCTAATTTTCCCCTCCATTCTACTGTCTTCCCTATTATTGGAACCATGGTCTTTTTTTTTTTTTTTTATCTCAAGAATGTCTTTCAGTATTTTTTACAGGGTTGGTTTGGTGGTCATGAATTCCTTCAGTTGTTTTTTGTCATGGAAGTATCTTGCTTTTCCATTAATTTTGAAAGATAGTTTTGCATGATACATCAATCTGGGTTGCAAGTTGTTTCCTTTCAGGACTTAAAATACTTTACTCCAAACTCTTCTTGATTTAATTGTTTGTGTTGAGAAGTCTGTGGTGATGCTGATAGGTTTCCCTTTATAGATTTTTCCTTAACAGCTTTTAACATTTTCTTTTCTCTAACAGCTTTTTATAGTCTGTTCTTGTGTTGAATTTCTGGGATCTTGATTATTTTATAGTAGTCACCCAATGAATCAAACACAAAAAATTCAGGAAATCTGTCCACACACTGAGAATCCAAATTATCCCGCTGAGGCCCTGGATCCTATGGCAATATTCTGCATGAGTCAAGATGAAGACCTGGAGCCAATGACGATGCCCCTCACAAGTCCATCTGAAATCCTAGAGCCCATGACAGTGTCGCGTGCAAATCTGTTTCACAGATATGTGCTGACAAGGCCCAAAAGTTAGCAGTGGAAACTACAAAGTCTATGTCTGTGGGGTGAAGGATCTGTGCCAGTTAGGTTAAGGGTTTTGCACTGGAGCCGGGCAGTGATGCTCAGAGTAAGGAGCAGAGCTTCCCCAAAGTGACCTGAAGCCATTCTCAGTGATAACAAGGTTCTGAGCTCCTCTGGCAATGAGAACAGCCAAGTTCATATCAGGAAAGAAGTTCAACAAGCTCCTCCAGAAAAACCAGCCACAACAGGAGAACCAACAACATCACACTTCCTCCTCTCCACTTCTCCTATTTATGTTGATGGCAACAATCCTGAGGGGGCCATCCACACCAGTGCCACACTAATTCAGTCCAGTGGGGTGTTTCAGGCTGACCACCAGTTGTTAGTCTACCACAGTAACTGAGACAGTGTCTATTTCTTTTGTTTTAAGAACACACATTATTATTTCAGCTGACGTACAACAGATTTTTGCATTTTCCAATTCTTTTGGACTCAACCTAGTGTTCTCAGGAAGGCACAGTGAGGCCTTTGCTTCACTTCTCAGTATTCCTTCTCAATCCAATCTCCTTTGGCTTTAAAAATAGGATAGACATGGTTCTTAGCAACCCAATTTCTTTATATATATACCTTCTATTTTCAGAAGATGTGGTAGTGTTTGATGATGCCTTCCTTTTCCTCTGGTGTTTCAAGACACCTGGGATTCCATAATCTGAGCCATCCCTTCGGTCTCAGCCACTGCCCATATGCTCATCTACCACGTAGGATTAAGAAGGAAGCCTGCCATATTTATCAGATAAAGAATAGTGTTTTTTTAATGAGATGCTGTCCACAAAATGCTTCCCCTCAGGAGATCGGCATGAAATCGAACTCTTCTTCTAGTCCACGGAATAAAAATAAGACCTGTGGTAACTGAATCCACTTATTCTTTACTGCCCCTTAGAGCTCATTTATACAATTGCTCTTTTTTCTAATCCCTGTACTTGCCAAAAGCTTGCATTCTGATGAACTCTTCCATCTATTCTTAGTTAAGCAAATGTGAGAGCTGGGTTAATTTATCTTACAGATCTTTCTACTACTATCTGGAACTTAACTGATGGGACCTCAGGCACTATGGATTAAAATCACCTCTGAGGCCCAAGAGCTGCTTACTGCCAATACCTAAATGCAATGGAGAGACTTAGGTAGACTTGTTCCAGTGACACTTGAGACTCTGTTGGCTGATTTTGCCCCAGTGATTCCATAATGGTTCCTCCATGGCCAGAAGTTTTAGATGTTTCCACTCAAACTTCTCTCCCTTTCTTCCTCATTCACAGTCAAATTTGCTCCATGGCCTGAAAGATCTCTGTTCTATTTCCTTTCCTTCCTGCAGTCTACCTAGTGAAGTCTTGGTATATTTAGTCTTTCTCAACATTGCCCTCTTGGAGTATCCAGAATCACACAGCTGCCATCTTGCCAGCTCTTCCAATCTCTATCTGCTCTGCCCTTTGAACTCTGGTTGCTTCACAAATAACTGTCTTCTTGGTTCCCAAATCACTGTCTTGGTATTTCTCTTCTCTGTACTTTCACTTGTCTCACAATTATAGGTGTGTATCCTTGCACTCTTTTCATTAGTAACACACTTACTAAGATCATAAATATATGAGGTATATTGTAGACCATCTTCTATTAGCTGATAGTCTCTTGGCACACTTCCATGATCATAGGATGAGAACTGAACATCATTAAACCAGAAAGAGATGAAGGTATTTCATTCTTATGAAACAGATGTACGGGCACATTCAGATTCTATACCCACATGGTTTCCACACTGAGTGAAAGTAGGGAAGGCAATTACTAACACTCTAATAGATCTGACAATGCTTGGGGATGAGCAATATCAGGTCTTCAGTGCTGCCCTGGATGAACCACTGAGGTCTCCTGGATGACTAAGTGATGACCTTTGCCTTACTTTATGGAAGTCCCCTTACCCACAGTTTCACTTTTTTCTGTTTTAGTCACAATAAGCAACTCGAACCTGAAAAACAGCAAAATCCCAAGATAAGCAATTTATACATTTGAAATACTTTTTGTTGTAGTATTTGTTCTAATTATTAAATTCTTGGTTATTTTTGCTAGTCTGTTCCTCTGCCTAATTTGTAAACAGGCTTTCTTTCTTTCTTTCTTTCTTTCCTTTCTTTTTCTTTTGAGATGAGGTTTCCTTAGATAGTCCAGGTTGCCCTGAAACTCACTATACACACAGGTTGGTCTGAAACTCAGGGCAGTTCCTGTGCCTCAGGCATACCAGCCCTGAGACTATAGGCATGTCCTACCGTGTCTGGATAAACTAAGTTTTTTATTAAAATTTTTAAAAAATGAAACCGGCAAGTACTTTAATGTTGAAAGGAGTCAGTGAATCTGAAAATTACTTTATCTAATATGATAGGTTTAGGAAGATTCTAGAACCTTGTCCAATGACATACTCAGTTTCTGAACAGACATTTTCCACATGAGAGCCAACGACCCTTCACAAAGCACTCACAGTGATGTGCAGTGTGCACAAGTTTAGGACACGTGTAGAATGATTAGAATTTTTTATTTATTTATTTATTTACTTATCTATTTATTTGTGGGAAATGGAGATTGAACTCACAACCTTGCACTTACCAGGCAAGAAAGGGCTTGAGACACTGAAGTAATTTCCTGCCTGAGTGCTTAGAATTTTATGTTGCCTTAACATCCATCTTAAGATGTAATTTAGCTTTATCATGACAAAACCAGGGCAGTCACTCTTAATAGTTTCTGGTACTATACCTCAAAGGTTCTTGCACTGGTATAAATTATTGTACAGTTATGGTAATGGTCTAACATGATGGAAGGCCAAAGTGGAAACACTTGCCCTGATGGCCACTCTTTCCTTCTTCCCCTGAAGCCCAAAATGGTTTTCCCTTTGTATGCCAAGAAAATGCCAATCAGTTCCTCACACATCATCAATGCCAGCTCCATGTACCACTTCTGAACAGAGGTCATCTAACCCTCTGACCCTCTGTATCCTGCCAGCAGGAGAAAGGCAAACCCTTACAGTTGTGGGCTCTTCTCCTCTCTCCATGTCCTCAAATAAATGGCCTCTTTCACTCTCTTCTTTTTTCTGTTTCTCTATTGCACCAGAAAACTCTAACAAAACCCACACTAATGGCTCCAGTGGTAGCCAGAGATAAAAATTTAGAGACAGCTCTCCCACTTACAGGCTTCACTCCTTTCCCAATATTTATTTCATATAAACCAGACATTTCTCAGAAACTTAAAGGAACTACATCTCAGTCGTAGAATGACCTCTTGAAATTTGTGCCTGCTTGCTTAAAACCCACCAATTAAAGTCCTATCAGGAGAAATCTGTTTGTATAATTCCCTGGATCCCATAAAGGCAAATTTCCTGAAGCCCCAAAACCAGACTCCACTCCTTGCCCTCTCTGACCTCCCCTGTGTGACCTCTGGGCATGTGACTTCTGAGCTTCCTGTCCCTTCAAGGTTTTTTAAACTCTCACACTTTCACGCGTGGTAGGTAGTAGAATGCCCTGAAGAGGCTCATGAAAGTGAATCCCCTGCTGGTGCTCTTCTGTCTGGGAACATAAGCTAGCTATAAACTAGTAGAAACCTAAGGGTTTCATTCAAAAGATTGTGATGTGCAAGGTTGGACTGCATTATATACCAGGAGCAATGTCTTCAGAAAGAACTAAAACAAGGTCTCAGCCAAATGAGCCCTAAGCAGCTCACAGACCCTTACTTAGGGGCCATTGTCTTTCCCTGGAAGCAAAGGCCCAGGACTTTCACATTCCAAATAAAGAACCTCATGTGTCAGTCAGGTTACCCAATTGTAAAATAAACTACCAATTGGGAGCCCTCAGGTTGGGGAGAATGTAAACTTCGTGGCAAAGGACACTGGGTTGGCAAAAAACAGAACACTCTCCGAAGTCTTAACATTTACTGCAAAGGGATCCAAGAGGAGATGGATGGCTTTCTTCCTGTTGTGAGATGACCCTGACAACTGACCCTGATACAAGCTTTTGATGAAAACCACCTTTACCACTTTATCTACCCTAGGCTAAATTCTGACTACTAAACTCTCAGCACACAACTCTAACAACCCTGGGCTCTGGGAGGCTGAGGCAAGAAATTAGCTAATACCCGCTCTGAGAAATTTAGCGAGTTTTTCAGTCTTAAAAACTGAAAAGGCCAGGGAATAGAGTTTTGTGTAAAGGCCTTGGGTTCAATCCTGGAATAGGGGTGGGGAGAGGCATCAAAGTCAGGACCCATTGAATAAAGCTTAAAAAGCAAATAAAAGACTAGTCGAGCATTGCAAAGGATAAAACAAAAGCTGTCCTTTGAGAAGGACTCTCAAAATCCCAGGAGTAGACTGGACCATTTGGAAATCCGAGTCAGTTGTTCCTGGATCTTTAGCCTCTTGGCCTGGTCCGCAAAGGAAGGCAGCAAAGATCGCCAGTGGAAGGCACTGCTAGGGCTGGTTCTTGGTATTATTTTAGAGCAGAGAAACTCCAGCGACCTGGCCTGAGGAGGGCGAGGCAGAGGCGCGGAGGGCGGGGGCCCTGGAGGAAGAGTGACCTGGGGCCCAAAGCTTACAGGCAGGGGAACCAGGGTCTCAGCGCCCCAAACCCGGGCTCCTGCGCCTCTGGGAGCCGCGGCGTCAGCCCGGGAGCCCCGTGGAGCAGGGTGCTGCGCTCCTGACCCGAAACCCTGCGGGAGGGGCCGGTCCGAAGCCGGAGCCTGGGCCCGGGGCCTTCCTGTGCTGGGCCGCGGTGCAGCCCATCGCGAGCCGCACTCTCCTTGCCCCCCGCCTCTCCGCTTCCCGGTACTCCCTCTCGCCATAAAATTTTAGACCGGAGTCTCCTGTGTTGGACACCGAGGGCACACAGCGCAAAGCAGACCTTGCGGAAGACACCTGGATGCCTCAGGGTGGTTTCTGCAGTGTAGAGGTCATCAGGTTCCCGGAACGCGCGAAAGGTACCCGCTTAGAAACCGGGCGGAAACAAGAGTCCTGAGGTTTTGGTTCCTTTCCCACCCCACCCACCGCCCCTCTGAGCCCCCACCAAAAAGTGAGAGGTGTCTTCAATCCTGTTACCCAAGGTAACCTGGAGGCTTCCCTAGGTTAGTGGTCATCAGGTTCCCCTAACAAACAGGTCAAAGACACCCCCCCCCCCTTCAGGGTCCAAACAAGGTTTTACTCTTTTCTCCTCTGGAAAATAAGAGCTTTCTTCAGCGCTTGTGTGGGCATGGTTCAGGGACAAACAGCTCCTCAGTTCTGCCCTTAGAACACCAGCAACAAGACACACACACACACACACACACACACACACACACGGATCAGAGTGACTGGCAGAACTACTGAGATCAGTGTCCAGCTCCTGGAGATGCTGAGCTGGGTGTGGATGTAGAGGATGGTGGGACCTGATCAGGCACCCACTGACCTGCTGAGCTTTAGCGTTCCTAACTGAGGTGGGCAGGAGCACTGGCCTGTGACTTGGGAGTCCAAAAGAGAAAGAATAGGTTGTAGTTTAGAAAGAGATGTGGGAATCTGCAGATTGGGATGCTACATGCAGATGGAGCTGCTGAGTGTCCAGGGCCAGGCAGAGGGCACTGAGAGCCAAAGAAGTGCAATGTCAGTGTGAGGCTGATTTCCTTCTTGAGCTCCAGTATGTGACGCAGCCTGGCCCAAGCTTGGCTGCTCAACAAGAGAAGCATAATCATAGATCAGAATTCCTAACTTTTAAAGACTCATGACTTTCGGGTCAAAACGTGCTCTCTGGGTTATTCAGTTTAATTCCCCAACGAAAACCGAGAAAGGAATTTTTTTTCCTAATTGCATTTCACCAAAACACCAATACAATTTGTCAATATTTCAACCATAAGTTGTTTTGTTTTGTTCCGTTTTGGTCTTTTTGAGACAGGGTCTCCCTATGGGGTTTCAGTCTGACTTTAAGCTCACTTTGTAGGCCAGGCTTGTCTGGAATTTGCAATGATCCTCCTACCTCAGCCTCCCCAGTGCTGGGATTACAGCACCACTAGGCACAGCTTCCATAAGTATTTTTAAAAGACAACTTACTCCCAATGCATCTAAATCAGAGTACTCATTCTGAATTGAGAGCACCCCAACAAAATACTGATGGCAAGCACTGCTAACCCTTGAAAGTCACATATTCCTTCAAATGTATGTCCAGCCCTCAGAGAGTGGTGCTCTGGCTCTTGGCTTTTCGAGTGAGCACAGAACCTGAAGTATGCATACCAGTGAGGGATCACTGGTGTTTCCTGGGAATCTTGTTGTTGCTTATTCTGTTTTCTGTGCCAAATCAAGATGCAGTTTGTCTTCTTGTATTAGAATGTTCTGAGCAGTAGCAAGATTTTCATGGAGGAGACTTAGAAACCTCAGGTTAGAATTCTTTGTAATGTAGTGGTTATCATATTCGTCTCACATGTGTAAGTCCCTGGTTTGAAACCAGGTTGAAACAAGTCTTTCTGAAAAGTGAAAGAAACTTAGAAACACTCTTTTACCGGGGTGACTGAGAGCAAAACAAAACAAAAATCTTCCCAAACCAGTAATTACCACAGCAGCAACCACACCTCACCAGCCTCAGCAGCTATTGTAATACACAGCAGGTTTGCGTTCTTTCCAAATTCTTTTGTTGGAGACTTCATCCCGATGCAGTGGTGTTTGGAGATGGAACCCCAGGAGGTTCATATTGAAATTAGTGTCCTCTAGGGGCTGGGGATTTAGCTCAGCAGCATAAGCGCCTGCCTTGCAAGCAGGCAGTCCCTGAGTTTGATCCCTGGTACCGATAAAAAAAAAAAAAAAAAAAGAAATTAGTGTCCTCATAACAAAGAGAAGGCAGCCCTGAGTGCTCTGTCTCTCTCTCTGCAATATGAGGACAAGACAGAGATCATTAATTCTGTCTCACTCCCTCTTCTCTTTCCTCTTACAAGCTGGGTCCTTCTTCCCTTGTTCTACTCAGTGGTTTGTAAGCCAGGAAGAGAAAGCTCATTAGGAGGTGGAAACTGAATCAGCTGAAACTTTGCTCTTGAACTCCCTACCCTCCAAACTTTGGTCAATATCTTATAACTAACCAGGCTGGAGAAAAAATTCAGTAACAATGTTTCTTTGAAATGCTAGTAGACCAAGATGGCTTAGAGTTTTGAGTTCCATAATGGCAAACCAAAGCCAGAGCGAGCAATAAAACAAGAGACTCTATCAAGCAGAAAGCATCGACTAATATAAAAGTGAGTGCTTACCTGTTTAAGAGTCAAATAGAATTCCTTTCCTTTTCCAAGAACACTTATTTTCTCTCATGCTCCTCTTTGCAAAGTGCTCAGCTGCTGACAGTGAGTATGTTTAGGAATCACTGAATGCTCATATAAGCTCTCTAAAATTTGAATATACCCAGATTTGTCTTTGACAATCCAAGGACATCTAAAGAAGTTTGCTGCAACATTCACAGAGTATCATTTTGCGATATAATGGGCTCTATTATCACACGTAACTATTTGGTGTGGTGAGGTTTTTTGTATATAAAAACACTGCACACACCCCAAAATACTGCACCTACTCTCAGAGAACATGGCTACAGTACTCTTTGCCTTAGCAGCCTTGGTACATGAATATTTTCTTAAAACTATGAAAAGTTTGCGTTATGATGGAGAAATTACAGTGCAATCAACCTGGTCAATACTCAGAAAACAGGGAGTCTAAGTGTCAGATCCCTGCCTCCTGGCCTGGCCAGCTTGGAATCAGCTGAGTCACAGAGGGTGAGTGTGGTCTGGCTTGAGTGTCTTATCTAAACATTAAATATCGTTGATTGCTTTGTATTTTAGATCAACAAATACACATGCATGGTAATAAATTTACTTCAGAGTAACTGAAAGTTACTCCAGAATTACATGACAAAATGTCAAAAGCTTCTGCTCCATTGCTGAGCCAGCTTGGTGCATTCTAGTAGAATGTGGAGGTACTTGGTAGGTGCTCTGTGGTCAGGAACACAAAAAGTGCCATTCCTGCCCTGCCAATTATAGGTGTTCTCTGGGCAGGGGGAAAGATGTGAAGCCCAATTAAATGGAAATCACACTGTGGTTTGCAGAAATTTCACCTCAGGGCAGCAAGTGTGGTACAGTAAGGCAGATCACATGGCTTATGATGGAGGCTCCCAGGGCTGCTTTCCAGCCCTAAGCCTAAAGCGAATTTGGCATCATTTTAGGAAATGCCGATGAGATGCTCTGGCTTAGTCAGGAGGCATATTGGATCCTCTGTATGTCTGAAAACCACTAAAGATGTTTCAGGACAGGTCCACATAAGCCTTATGGGGCAATGGTGAGCACTCTTGGCTCTCAGGTCAGCAATCAAAATACAAATCTTGGTGGACTTTTCTGTTTAGTTGACGGGAAGGCATTTTTCCTTTACTGCTGAAGTGGCACTTGGACCCCATGATGCCCTGCACTGGCCTTTCACAAGCTGTCTCTGGAGCGTGTGACATCAGGGGTTTGAGGGCCTTGGCTCCAGCGATATGGATGGATGTAAAACACAAAGCTTTAAAAAACCCAGCACTTGACTGCTGCCCTTAGTTTATGTGACAAGACCATGTCCTTCCCAGGATAGGAGCTGCATAGGGCAGTGGATGCATCAGGTCCCCACATCCCTCTGCTCCCAGGCCCTTTGTGATGCTCAGCCTTGTCCTCTGTGCTGTTCACCTGCTCCTCAGGAGTTGAGGTCCAGCCAGATTCTCAGCGAGTTCTGGTCTGAGCACATGAGAGCTGAGCCAGCAAGTTTGTTTGCTCCGTCCTGGGCCACGCTGCCTGTCCTGGGGCTCACTGGAATGGGAGATGCCTTTCCTTGGGTGACCCTCAGGCCTCAACAGGGGTCCTGCATGGAAAAGTAGCTGCCACTAAACCCTATGATCCATGCTGTCTCTCACCTGGGACACCTCACAATTGCACCAACTGTCTTGGCGTAAGCAAGTACAAATCAGAGAAATTGGGCCTGCATGAACTCAGCCCTTAGTGACTGTGTGTTCTTTGGGGTCTACGGTTGGAGCCTGAAGTTCACAATACTGCACTTTATGCAGGAAGCTTACGGCACTGTGCATGTTTGTTCTCTGGCTCTTTAGATTTGCCCTTCATTGCAAATTGCTAGCTCTGATGTCTCCACTGGGACATTGCTGGCTGCCCCTCAGTAGTTTGGCAAATGCCTTCACAGATCAGGTTCCTTGTCTGAATGTGCAGCACAAAATGAAACTGCTGAGTCCTGCAACCCAAGGCATGGCACTCAGGTCCCTGGCAAGCAGGTGGCTAGCGCAGCCTGGAGGCTTCAGGGCACCGATGGCCCAAGATATAGAGCGGGAGATGCTGGGATGGAGACTGAGGAGGAGGGGAAGAACGGACAGCGAGAAGAGAAACAGCAGGCATGGAAGAGGGCTTTTTCCTCTGTAGGTTCCCAAACTGTGCGCATCTGCCCTGAAGCAGGATTTTCTCCGAAGCAGCAAGGTGTTTGCCTGGCATTGGGTCTTGCAGTTTTCGGTGACTCAGAGGAGCAAAGTGGCAACTCTTAGTTCTCTAGCTCTGGACAGCTAAGGCAGCAGACTTGCTGGCCTTAAAGAGCCGACTGGCAGGAGGGGAAGCACACAACTCCAGGTTTTCTTGCAAGTTAGAGTCTGAGGTGGAAAATATGAATAACAACATTCAGAGGTGCAGAGATAGGCGAATAATGGGTAGAATTGCTGAAATTCGCTATCCATATAGAAGAAATCCAGGAGTAGATGAAGAGCGTATTATTTTTTACAACAAGCTTGAAGCACAGGTAACTTTGAGAAAAATGTGAGATGGATAAAAACTCATCCCCTCCTACAAAAAAAATTGAAACTCATTGTTTGCATTTTTCATCAAAATTTTCATGGCCATGTGTATCCCATGTTTACAGTATGAGTTTTGTATCCTGTGTAGGTTGGGGCTCAGGACACACTACCT